GCAGGCCCAAACGACATTACCGTTTGGGCCTGGCGGCGCTCTTGAGGCTGCCGCCCGCCGGTTGGGGCTGAACTGTCCATCTGGACGGTTCAGGGCACGGCCAGGCCTCGCAGCATTGAGGCCGGCCTCTGCCCCACCGGTATATAGAACCGGTCCAGCCTCAGTCCAGCATCGACCTACCGGCATTCTACCGGTACGGTATGGTACAGCGCGATACAGCGCTGGCACTAAGCTTAGCGCAGGAGCAGCGAGGAGCAGCAGCGCAGCATTAGCGCAGCAGCAGCGGCGACTGGGTGTGCCGGCGGCCTGAGGTATCGGGAGTTGGAGGCCTCTCTCCTCCCTCCCCTCGCCAGTCCCCTCTCTCTCTCTCTCTCCTCCTCGGCTCCTTCTTCTTCTTCTTCTTCTTCTTCTTCTTCTTCTTCTTCTTCTTCTTCCCCTCTTCAGACTCCATCTTCTTCTTCTTCTTCAGATTGGAGACTTATACTAGTTGGACAGAGATCAGTATTGGACTTCGGTGGTATGAGACTGTGGTACTTACCGGATTGGAGACTTGGAGATTGTTGGGGTTGATACTCGGCTGCATCACAGTTCGGACACCGGTTACATTTGGACTCTGTACCTCCGACATTGGTGACCTATTGTCCTCGACATTTTGATCTTGTTGGATGACATTTTGGACTACCATATCGGTGACCTATCAGATTCGGTGCTGTCTACCTCCCCCACCTCCTTCGTCTCTCCTCCCACCTCTCATCTGTGTATGCGTGTACGAGGTCTGGGCATCGTCTATGCTTGGCCCAGACCCCACCATCTCACGATTGTATGTGTGTGGAGTGATTCTTGAGTCAGTCTGTGTGAGTCAGTCTATGTGAGTCAGTCCGTTTATCAGACTTCCGCTGCATATATGCTCATCCTACATTGGTTGATCTTTGGTTCTGCCCATACTCATTGAAGTATGTAACATAGGCCCTGTGTACACACACACCCCTTACACCACAGCTACGACGAGGAGGAGGGGGAGGAGCAGGAGGAGAACTAGAGGAGGATGAGACAGGAGGCAAAGTTCATGACGAGGAGGAGTGGGAGTACAGGCGTTCCGGACAATATAGGGGATCCGGACCGGAATCCGGACAGGGGGTCCAGCTCGGTCCGGATATTCCGGAATATTCCGGTTTTCCGGAAGTCCGGAAGGGCCCGGGAGGTCCGGGGTCCGGGGTCCGGATTCGGTCCGGTGTCCGGTCCGGCGTAGCTATGGATATAATGTACGTACGTTGTATACGAATACAACGAACTTCGATTTTCAAAAATATCATAAAATTCCTGTGGAAAAAAAAGTGTACAAAGTTACTACAAACAGTACAACATTGCAATGCAAACAACTTTTGACAGAGGGACTTGGCGAAATTCCAGCCAAATTCGAGAAAAAAAAGTAAAAACAACAACGGTACTAGATGCTCCTGCGAAGTTGTACCCTAAAACTCGTTGTACAACATAAGTATGTTGTATTTGCCAAAAACTTAGCTCTTACGTTGTATTCGTATACAACGTACGTATGTTTTTTCGGGTTAAGACAGTGTCGAAGAGGATGACGACCAGCATAGCTGATAGGGTAGGGGGGAGAGAGAGAGAGAGAGAGAGAGAGAGAGAGAGAGAGAGAGAGAGAGAGAGAGGTGCATTCACTGAGTGAGTGAGTGAGCAATCCAAGGAAGGGGGGGGGAGAGAGAGAGAGAGAGAGAGAGAGAGAGAGAGAGAGAGAGAGAGAGAGAGAGAGGGGCGTGTGCATTCACAGAGTGAGTGAGCAATCCAAGGAAGGAGGGAGAGATACAAGAGAGTGAGAGAGAGAGGGAGGTGTGTGCATTCACAGAGTGAGTGAGCGAGCAATCCAAGGAAGGAGAAGACATACAAGAGAGAGAGAGAGAGAGAGAGAGAGAGAGAGAGAGAGAGAGAGAGAGAGAGAGAGAGAGAGAGAGAGAGACTGCTTACCTGAGTGAGGTTGATGAGCTGGTTGTCATAGGCGCATGTACTAGGAGCTTGGAACTGGGATAATTTTGTGTATTTGAGAATGAATGATCATTTCGGTTTTTGGCTAATTGCTATCCCGCTGCCTTGTAGAGTACCTTGTCTGCAATCAGTGTGATGCATGGTTTCAATCGGAGTTGAATTTGAGCTGGTTCATTGCGTATCTATCTTATCTTGATTCTTGATCCCATGCATACTGTTCCCCCAGCGCCACTGTCGGAGCCGGGACTATGGATTCCGCAATGCTTATTTGTGACACACCGTTGGCTGACGGGCCTTCCCTCTGTGTGCACGCTTAGGGCATTCAAACCTCCCCCAGCCTGCGAACCCCGAACCTCACCCCCCCCTCTTGCCAAGAGATATGCCATGCCATCTCCTTCTTCCTGTCTCAAGCCTCGCTTCCGCAATCCTGTCCATCAGACCTGTTGGACTCCTGTGTGTCACATCTACCTGACTTTTGTTTGGAGGACTAGGACCAGTGTGACATCCTGTAGTGCGACGCCCATCTGACTTTCTATGTGACATCAGCATGGGTACGATATCCTGTGTGTCACATCCATCTGACTTTTGTGTGTGACTTTTGCCACTTCTGTGTGTGACATCTGGATGAGTCTGACATCCTCTCTCTCACAACCATCCAACCTCTGTGGGAGACGAACATATGCATCTCTGACAGCGTGTCTGCATGCATCTGCATCTACAATACTATAGAAGCCCCTAATTGACATGAGGGGGTCATCTGGTCTGTTTGCCGTTTGTGCGCACAAAGGGCCCAGATTTGTGACCGATCAGGTGAAATTTGGATCAGACGTGAATCTGGGCTGTTTGCACGCATGGATTGCCCGGATCACCAACGATTTAGACTTTTGGGGTGACTGGCCACACATCTGGGCTGCCCTCCGGTGCATGGCCCAGATTGATGTGCCTCCGCTGTGTATTTTCAAATTTTGGGTATTTGTGTGCTTCCGCTGTGTATTTTCCTCATCTGGTTTGGTGTGGATTGCTCTCTCCAAGTGCACTTGTCATTGCGCACGCGTATGGGAACTTGTGGATGCCATGTTGGATTTCGTTTCAATCAGGCACAAAACAGTCGGTATCAGAGCCACGACTGTTTGCATCTAGTGGACTAATTGATTGGCCATCAACTCTCTGCCCGGCGGTTGGCGGTTTGGGGCGGTGCCCCATTTTCTTCAACAGCTGTCTGCGGCGTCAGTTGCTGATTGATTGCTGCACATTGGTGAGAAAACGAGTTTGGAAAAAAAAAAAAAAAAAAAGTGCCAAACAAAAGGCCTGGGACTGCATCCCGGCAGAGACAAAATAAAGAAACACTCACCAGACTTGCAGATCCAGGGATCAAAACCTGCCATGCTCACAACTACAAAACACACAAGGCACACGAGTTAAAATACAGCCCTGCTGGGAAACCAACCGTGCGCCCAGCGCCAATGTGCAGCCTCTGGTTGGCCAGCACTTGCCTCTCTCGAGCGTGCGGACAGGCAGCGCTCAAGCAATGCCTCCAGCCAGAATGTCTGGACCGGGGGCGGAAACTTTCTTTTTGTAGAAAGTGTCCAGCCTTGAGTAGCTGCCTGGCTGCACGCGTGGTACACAGTACCTTCCTGTGCAGACCCAGTATCTGCGCCCAGGGCCTTCCCCGAATGTGCCCTGGGCCCGGTTTGGTTGGGGTGCTCCACTGCTCGACATGGCATTTGCTGTCCGCTGCGTTTTCATTGGCCGGTAGGCCTGTGGTGACATCAGGGCCTTGCTGCCTGCAGATCATGACGTGGTCACACAGCCTCAAGAGAGGCTCGGTTTTCCAGTCCCCCGGGTAGGGGAACCCCCGTGCGAGCACCTTCGGGCCTGATGAGCAGGTCATGGTCAGACAGCACCAACGTGCTGTAACTTTCTGGCGTGAGGCCTAGGCCCAGTAAGCTCACAAACAAGAGATAGGTTCCAACAGGCACTGCTTCGGCCCTTTAGCCTGGTCACGTTGGCCTGTATTCAGGCATGGGCGCATATTTGCGGGCCCGCAGCGCTCTCTTAGGCTGTGCATGGCCTTTGCGAGCATTGCCGAGGGGCTAGCCTGGTCACATTGGATTGGCCTGTATTCAGGCATGGACGCATATTTGCGGGCCCGCCTTTACTTAGGCCGGGCATGGCCTTTACCAGCATTGCTGAGGGGCTAGCCTGGTCACATTGGATTGGCCTGTATTCAGGCATGGATGCATATTTGCGGGCCCGCCTTCACTTAGTCTGGGCATGGCCTTTACC